AAATTAAATTTTCATGCTCTTCTCCTTATAAATAATTTTTTTAAATCTTAAGTTACAAGTAGGCATATTGTGCTGTGTATCTGTTTTGTACATAATTTCTTCATTTTGAGAAGGATTTTTTTCCCAAATAATGAATGAAAAGTTGAATCTGCATTCCCAACTTTTTATCCTTTTGCCATCGTGATAGCAGCTCACTGTTAGATTTCCTAAGACTTAAGTGTTTTTGCAAGTGTAGTCACCTAGATTATTGCCCATGGTTTGAGGGGTGCCCAGCTGAGCAGAGTGCTTCATAAAATGTTACAGTTTTTCTTCTCAGAAAAGCTATTTGCCAAGTCAGAACCAGCTTCCAGAAGGATGACGGGCGCCTTTCTGTCTGGTGCCCTTTCATGGTGATTATGTAGGAGTAGCTAAGAAAGAGAAAGTGGGGGGAGAACTGGAAAATGAGGAGGCTCCTGTGACAGGAGCTGAAAAGGAGGCAAGGAGCACTCACACATGCCAAAAAAGAAGAGGGAAAAAGGTAAAGGAACCAGGCATGTGAAGTCCAAATAAGCGGAAGCAGAAACCCACACTGAGACTGTGTGGAAGAGTCACTGTTGGCATGGCCCCAGTGAAGAATAAAGTGGAGCTCATGAAGGAGAGTCCTCCCCACCTGAGCAGCTGAGGGTGTGAAGCAACTGGTCAGAACTGTGATACAGTGCTCTAGAAAAGTCTGGTATGGGTAGAAGGAAGGGAGTGTGAGCCTGTTCTCATGCAGCTGCCCCTTCTGGTTTCCTTACATGGAGCCAATGCCTTTTCTCAAAACAGCAGGTCCCATAAGCAAGAGGGGATGGTGAGTGAGATGTCCACGTTCCACGTGAGGGTTCCTTGGTTGTGGATGCCATTTGTGATAGGAAAAGCCAAAACATCAGTCACCAGGGAAGTGTGCTGTTGTCAGGGAAGGGTTCAGAAACAATCAGTCAAAATTTCCTTCCATTAGTCCTAGGATCATTACCATGGTGTAACAGGGCATGTGGCATTGGTAGGGTTTTTAAGACAAGGGGTGAAGCCCAGTGTGGTGGCTAATACATGTAATCCCAGCTACTTGGGAGGCAGAAATAGGAAGGATCACTGTTTAAGGCCAGCCTGGGAGGGCAGGGAGAATTCTGAGACCCCCATCTCAACCAATAACTGCATTGTGGTATATCTGGCATCCACTGTGGGAAGCATAAAGTAGGATCATGGTCCAGGCTGGCTGCAGCAAAAATGAGACCCTATCTCAAAAATAACTACAGCAAAAAAGGACCAGAATCATGGCTCAGCTGTAGAGCACCTGCCCAGCAAGCACAAAGCCCTGAGTTCAACCCCCAGAACCTTAAAGAATGATGATGATGACCAGGGATGTCCTAAGCGAGGGTGGACTGGAGCTGGTATGAGGAGAAGGCCTTGCACTCATTGCTCTCCTGGCTGGCATGAGACCACAGCAAGGGGAGGACTGGGTTCTGCTGGAGTTCTGGGGCTGCTCTGTGTTACTTTCTGACCCCCACCTCTGCTGGGATTGTCCCTCTTTCAGTTGCATCCAGGAAAAGCAGCTAAGGCTGGAAAAGTTTTGTGGGTTGCTTCTGGGGGTGGGGGTGGGTGGGTGGGTGTGTGTGTGTGTGTGTGTGTGTGTGTGTGTGTGTGTGTGTGTGTGTCTACCTGCCTGTCTTTGCCTGTCTGTCTTTGTACTAAATGGAAGAGCCATTTCCTTTCCTTCTTTTTTCTCTGTTCTCTGTATCAACTATAATTTCTTCCTGATTCCTCACATCACACAATCACTGTTCCAACCCCAGGCTTCACTTCTCATTCAATGGAAGATACTAGGACTTGTATCTTCTTCAGATTATTTAGGTAAGTCAGAGCTTTTTCAGCTTCTAAGGTCTGTCACACACAAAAAAAGTTCTGCTCATATGCCTCACATACACTTTTTAAATAAAGTTTCAGGGGGTTCATGGAGCACCTAAATCCCATCAGTGGGCCTCCAGATATATGGAGGGAAATAGCCTGCATCATACTCAGTGTTGAAAAGAAAGAGGCAACATGGGTCCAGGTCACTGAACGCAATGATCTATGGTATCTGAGATTCTGGTATCATGTTAAGAAAGGTTTAAATGATTTGCAGAGAAAGATATAGTACACAATTACTAAGTAGTTGCTGAATTGTAGTACTAGTTACAAAATGGTTAGTAGTTAGCTCAGTTCTTAGCTACTAAGGGACACGAGATCTCAGATTTAGTTCCTGAACTTCAGGGACCGTAAACTGAACAAACCATATTACAAAACACTGTCTCTCAGGCGGGACTTAAACATGTGGTAGTACTGGACTTAAGTCTCTCACAGGGCAGCTTTCATCTATTCATAGTGTGTTGCAGGTTAACAAGGCCACTCTAGGTGAACATGGAGAGCAGCAGGTCAAAGTTTATTTCTAGCGCCATGGCCACATTTCCTTTTGAAACCCTATGCTGTACCATCCTTTCTCTTCCACTCTCTCCCTATCCCTCCTAAACTTCTCCAAGATACAAAGTTTAAGCAAGTAAATGGAGGCCAAAACACAAGGAGGAAGAGGGCAAAGGAGCTCCAGATGGGGAACTAGAGGACAGAAGGAACACTATGGGAAAACCAGAATGGCAGGAAAAGGACAGGCACATGGAGAAGAAAGCTTGACTCTCCTCATGTTTACCTGTGACTGCTCCTGCTGGGAATAGCCATTGGCCAAGGACCTAATTTTGCTACCCCATGAGTGGACTAAGCAAGGCTATGGATGTTATTCCTTCTAGCTCTATGGCTGCAATACTGTGGTCCCACTTAGGGAGGGTCATAGATGTACCAGAGAAGCACCCGCTGACCTGAACCTAGAATAATGGGTCTTTCATTAATAGGTGCCAGGTAATGTCAGTGCTTAAACTCTCTTCTTATATGCCTAGCCAACTGTTAGTGATATCTGATCATCTAATTTACATCATTAAAGATCACTAAAGCATTAGAGGAACCATAAGTCACAAGAAGGGACAGATCAAATGTGCCTCAATCCTTGCAAGATTACTCACAACCCTGGTGTTCTTTACTGGATTGAAGTGAGTCTGAACTAAAATCACGCAACTCCCATATTTCTTCCATTTTCACTTAACTAAAGTAAAACTGAAAAATAAGACCAATGCTTCTTAATAAGCACATTCTCATAAAGATAACATAATTTGGTACTTGAACCAAAGCACCAATAGATGACTTTATTCCCATTTCCATTTGCTTGATAAAACAGGGCTGCAGGAAGGCTGTACTTTCCTTACAGAAATTCACATTCCACAAATATTTGTGTCCTGCTTCTAAGATCTGTACCAAAGAAGTAAGCAGGTATTTGGCTTTCACACTAGACCAACAGGTAAAGATATCTCCTGGAAGATGTTAAGAGTGTCATTTGAAAATGCACTGTGCATTGGTCAACAAAGCTATCAGGAGCTTTTTATCTGAGTAGAAGTACATCCTGATCAGGGTGTATTTCCAGGACAGAAGATCCAGTGGGAGCAGTGCTGTCTTAGATATCAGCAGCCAGGCTCCTAGCCAAGCTCAGGCTGGGGCTCCATGTCAGTGGCTGGGGCTTGCTCAGGTATGTTGCTGGAACATTATTTCACCCCTCCATCTACCTCTCCCAGCACATTTTGAAGCATTTATCAGGCTACTCTTCTTCAGGCAGATTAGAAATTTTTAATAGACATTTATTAAGCATCTGGATTTGAGGCATGCCCCTCATGAAAAGGTGAAATTAAGCCAATTTCTTAACTCCAATCTCTTTCTATATAGAATTCTTCTATATAAGGAGAGAAGCATTGTTACATTCTCTTACTGTGAAGTGAATCATGGAAGAAAAAAAACTTTATCCAGAGAATCTGTGGATTGAAAAATAGAAGAAGAAAGAAAAGATGTTGAAAATACAAATAGCATAGACACCAGACCCAAGCCTACCCTCAGATCATTGCCTGAGATCTTTCAACTGATCCCACTCTATTATGCTCATGAACTTTCATTTCTATTTTTTCTTACTTTTTTACTAGTTAGAAAATCATTCTAGTTAAGAATAGTCTTTAAAATGTAAATACAAATATTTTACAGATAAAGATATATTGAGGTACTGTCATTTCTATTCATTGTATTTTGAGTTCCTACTGTGGATACATGTTCAAGTTCCCACTTAAGATAAATCTAGAGAGAGAAGTTTAATTGTGATAACAACAATAATAGCTAAGATTTACTGAATACTTATATTGTGCCAGAGTGATTTCCATTCATTATCTTATTTATGTTCACAGCCTTCTAAGGTCAGATACAGTTAGTGTGGTCACTCATTAATCAAAAAATGAAAAGACTGACCCACACAGCTGGGAAAGTGGCAGTGCCAGAATTAGAACACCTAGCAATTCAACATAAAAGCATTTAACCAATGAAGAGTAATTTCCTCTATAATATTTAACATGTGTACTTGTTGAGTTTTGGGATTGGGAGTTTATCCTAAAGCTCTTCCTGCAGCCCTCCAAACCAAATCTCACTGTTGCTGATAGTTGAGTTGTAGAAATTACCAGTCCATGAGGCCCTGCTATGGCTAGTCAATACAGAGTGACCTCTTAACTTTGCTAGTTATCTCTAAGATTATGGAGATGATGCAATGTGAAGAGAGTCCTGAGTTAGGACAGGAAGTGCCCCAGTGAGTTGAGGAAGTGTCTCAGTGAGCTGAGAGAAGTACTAGGTAGAATATAGGTGCCCTTTCTTAGTGCTCATTTACCAGGAGTAGAAGATGGTGTCATAAAGACCTAAGGAGATGTCTTCAGAGGAGAGAGAGAGAGAGCCCAGTTCCTATTCAGGTGTGGTGACTACACAAGTCTAAGGCAACTCTCTTGCAGGTGGTCCTGATGATTTTGTGAGCCTGTTCTTTCTTGTTTGGCAACTGAGAAAGTCAGGCATATTGCTAATTAACTTTTCTCTTCTCTCCACAGGCATGAATGCTTTACAATTACAGAATCTGGCGACCCTGGCTGCTGCTGCAGCTGCTGCCCAGACCTCAGCCACCAGCACCAATGCAAACCCTCTCTCTACCACAAGCAGTGCCCTTGGAGCCCTTACGAGTCCTGGTGAGTAGAAGGCTCGCTCTTCTCTGCACTTGATGCAGCAAGAGCAGCATGCACATAAGTCTGTACATACCCAGAAAAAAAGGGTGGGGCCAGACAAGTCCAGGACAGAGCCAGGAAACTTGTACTTGGTCTCTCCGTTACAATATTTCTTATTTTTTATAATGGTACAAAATTTGAATATGTGTGTTTTTCCAAGGATAAAATGAGCAAAGTTTTCAGTGAGCAAATCTACCATACTAGCAATTTTCACATATTCATTTTGTTTGTTAAAAGGTTATATTGTCCATTCAATCCTTGTTAAGTCGTACTACAAGAAGCCTCAGTCTCTTAGTCCTGCTTTTTTGTCCTATCCTCTTAGAAAGAAACAAAAAACCAATTTAAGAATTCTGTGTTAAATATCAAACTCCCTAATCATTCTAGTGTTGGATTTTACACCAGCTCCATCCTTCATATTTGATTTTAAAATCTACGGTCTAGCAAGGAATATCTTTGTTGCTCAGTTATGTTCAATTCTAGACTATATAATTCACAATCTTTTTTCTTCAGAAATTTTGTTACCTTATTCAAAGCAGATGCCATTTTTCTTTTCATACAAGGCAGATATGATGTTACTTAGAAACCATTATTTGGTTTTGTTTTGTTTTATTTTTTTTAAAAAAAGCAGAATGTTTCACTGGCTTTTCTTTTTCTCTAAATTTTCTAGACCTTGATAAATGATCTCACCTCCTTTCACTGTTACATGAAGTTGTTGGCCTGGACAATCTCCAAGCTTTCTAACTTTGAAAATCCCAATACCCTCTATCAGCTGTGGCCAAATAATTAGCTAAGTGTTGACAAAACCCTAATGTAATTCTTCAGGATTTTTTTTCAGAAAAACACAAAATGAAAGCTGCAGCATACTATAGACCAAGGCTCTCAAGAGTTTTGATTTCAGGGAGCAATGAGACATGCTTCTTGAGCTTGTGACTCTTAAGGGAGCCATACCCCCTCGTCTCTTTTTAAAACATTGTGTAGACACTTCACTGGGAGTATAGTTGTGAGGGAGAAATCTAAGCAATATGTAGGAAAATCTGGTAGATTTATCTTTAATGTGCTGAAATTGCTTTGCAATTGTACATAGGTGTTGTGACTTCACTCTTTAAAATGTTTCAAAAACATACCATTACTATGTGTGAGCCTGATTTTATACAGTTAAATGGTATTCCTGGAAAAATCCACTTTTAGTCAGTTTTTTAAGGAATTGTAGCTTTAATGTGATCCATAAATTTATTTGAGTAAATCTTTAATGACTTCTTTTGAGGAATAAACATCTTTAACATGATTGTCATTATATAAAAAGTGATTTTTCTTAAAAAACATTAAAATTTGACCTCTGTAATTTACCTGTTTTATAAATGAAATTGCAAAGTATTTTCTTAAATAAGAATTTTTTCTCCTATATGAGAACCATGAAATAATTACACTAAAATAGCACAGAGTATTATGCATTTTATTCCATTTCTAACCAGAAGACTTGTCAAGTGCAAAGAGGATATAGCTGATCAGTACAGGTAATGTGATTAAATAAATAATATCTATAAGGTGCCTGTACAGCATTAGATACTGTCCCAGTGCTGGAGATATGACAGTGAATGAGACAGACCTATTACCTTCACTCATGGTGTCTTTCTGTCTCTGAAGGATCATGGACAATAAGCAAATAAATATATGATATGTATGTGATAGATAAGGCTGTTAAGACTGATCAAACAGAATAAGATAGAATAAGATAGAGAGAGTAAAGCTCTTAAAAAAGTCCATCTCTTAAAAGAGGAAGAAGGCTGAACTGAGTGAAAGCCAGGTAGTCTTTAGGAGAGGACAGAGCATTATAAAGGCAATGAAATGGGACAGAGTGTGGCATGCTGATAAACTAGAAAGGAAGCCGTGGTGCTGAGCAGAGGGAGGAGGGAAAAGGAAAGGAGAAGAGAAAGGTAAGATCCATGTCACTGTATCATTGCCATTTGTCTTAGTCACCTTTCTTGTCTCTGTGACAGAATGCCTAACATAAACAACCTAAGGGGAGGAAAGATTTATTTTGCTCACAGTTTCAGAGGATTTAATCCATAGTCACTTGACTTTGAATTTCTGGACCTGAGGCGAGGCAGAATATCATGGTGGCCAGAGCATGTGGAAGAGGCAGTTCATTTCATGGGAGACAGAGAGGGAATACAAGGAGGGACCAGGGCAAGATGTCAAAAGGACACATCCAGTGGCCTACATCCTCCAAGTAGGCCCCACTTCCTAAAGTTTCCAGAACTTTTAGGCATCAAAATAATGTCACCAGGTGGGGATCAAACATTCAACACAGTCCCCTGTGAAGGGGACTGTTTTGTATGGTAAGGATCACAAATCTGTTGTAACCTTCTGACAATGGGAGATACTCAGCATAGGAAGATGGCCTGAGTTTTTGTCAGTTGGGAATTTTAAGCATATTTGACCATTCCACTTATTCCTGAGTCACAGTGAAAGAGAAAATGTGTTTGGAGATGTTTTCCTTCTTCCTGCTCTAATCAAAAAATATCACTAGGAAAGTGTCCTTCCTTATACTCCTCATGAGGTATCCTGTCCTGCATTAGATGCTGCTGCCTGAGGCATCAATAAAAGTGATTTTTCTCTTCTCTGCTGAGGAATGCTTCGCATAAGATCTAAAAATACTCTATTAGAATCCTGTAGCAGCAGAAATGATTTAAACCTACATTTCAATTATTTTTCCTAAGCGAAGTAAGAAAATAAATCTGAGTTTTAAATGAAAGACTTATTTATTTGTTTTATTTCCATCGGGGACTTTTTCAAAGCCACAGAAAATGTGGATAGTATTCATGACTCTGTACCTCATCAGGGCAGTTTCCTGTGAAATAAAGGGAGTCGGAAGCCATTCCCAAGGCCAATACCATTATTTATTTTTTAAATAATAGTAGGTTAAACTTACTGTTTGTACCAGAAATAAGCCTAGTCATGCTGTCATGACTAGATGCAAATGTCATCCCCTCACTTCAGTACAGGCCTTGAGTTTGCCCTCTTTTTAAGTATGTCTCTTAATCTCCAGACAAATCCGTCTAGAAAGGAAAGGGACAATTTAATCCCCCAAACTATTAATTCTTTTAATAATTGTAAATTTAGCTTTTCAATTTTGCATACCCAGAAAAAGTCCCCCTACAGCATTATTATAAATGATTTTAAACAGTCTTGGCTTTAAAACATGAAAGATTAAGCTTTAATTTTTGTTTTAAAAAAAATCCCTTAGGCAATAAATAGGTTCCTTTATCTCATGGCCTTGAAATAAAAATTAAAATAGTTTAAATTGCCCATGGTTAGAATAAGTGTTTCATGCAATTATCAGATGGCAGTGAATAAAATTAGAAATTAAGTCACGGAAGAATAAAAGCAGGTAAGTGCATATTATGCCTCTGATGAGTGTCTCATGGATGTTTTGAAGCCTAATTTAATCATGGTTCTTGTGTTTTATTTTGATATAATAGTTTTTCCTTTGTTTGCTCCAGTCTCCTATTTAGTTAATTATTCTTATGGTCATTTCTTTTTTTTTTTTTTGGTAGTACTAGGGTTCGAACTCAGGGCCTCACACTTGCTAAGCAAGCACTCTGGTCATTTCTTCATACTCAGTTTTGAACCTGTTTTGGAGGACTTTGTGTTTTATAGAAAGATGCAAATTGTATTTAAAGCATGCAGTTAGGTATCAAAGAGAGATAACATTTGTCTCCCATTCTGTTCATAGATGTATTGTTTTTGTCTGATAATTTTGAGAGCTTGGAAGGCAGCACTACTGTAATCACAGATGACCCTTTCATTGGCATTTTTCCATCTAAAACCTAATATTGCATTCATTTACCACATTATTTCACTAACCTTCTGTTTTCTTATTTTTTTAAAAAAAAAAAAAGATGTTTTAAAATTCTCCAAATGTTTCTTTAAGTGCAGACTCAGTCAAGTGCACACTTCAAGATAATGGATAATTTCTTTCAATAGGGTAAGGCATTTTAAAATGCAAGAAGCATTATTCCATTCCCACCAATGCCTCTTCAAAGAGTTTTCCCTTTAAATTGAGAACTTAATCTAGGCAGTCTTTTCCCCCATTTTAAGCCTCCTTGAAGACTACAACAGAGTCCCAGAGAAATGCTGAACCTTTCTGGATATTTGAGGTTAGCCGAGGTTGAAGGTGTTTTGATGTGATTCAGACCGTTCCTGCCATTCTCACATAGTGATGACTGCTTAGCAGATGCTGTCTGTTACATACTTATATCTCCAGAGCAACTGCTTGAGCAGTGGGCAATAGGAATTCACCCTTAAATGTGCTTTCATCTGTGTCATGTGATACCTGTGTACTGTGGAAAGAGGCAATTCATAGGCAGACTGAACCATGTTTCTGAGCCTTTTAGTATATGCAGGGCCAGTGCATGAAAATGTGTGTACTATCCCTTCCAAGTGGTGACTTGCACTGGGCAGTAGGAACATAAGGTGGATTATGATGAGGCCCAGAGACCAGGACAGACAGACCAAGGGTACGAAGAGAGGCTATCTCCTTAAGGCTACTACAATGATGCTTCAACTTCATATAGTCCAAGACTAAAAACTTCCACTGAGCTATTCTTCCTGCTGCCTTCACCCTGTATTAGTTCAGTCACTGACAGGACTTAGTGGCTGGGTCTCACAGCCAGCCATGATTCAGCAGTACACCTCATCAGTCTTTATACCAGTCAGTTCACCCTGTGAGTAGGTCTTTCCTCCAGTTGACTCTATCATGGAGTAGGCCCTTGTTTTTGTTCCATTGGAACTACTAAAATAGCCTCCAGCTAAGCTCCTACCCTCTATCCATTTTGCACACTTGCCAAAACCATCCCTATTTGGACATTTATTATTATTATTATTATTTGGCAGTTTTGGGGTTGCACTCAGGGCCTCACGCTTGCTAGGCAGGCGCTCTTATGCTTGAGCCACCCACAAGC